CCTGTATCAAGCCATCAGCCCTGGCAACCAGCTCGAGGCCTGAAAGAAGGGAGACATCTAGGTCAGAAATGATTATTTCTGGAAATCAAAGTAACCGATCAGGAAAATGTTTTGTGAGGTGGGCTGGAGGTATGAGGGAATTTCAGATTAATGAATCAAGAGAAGCAGCACAGTAGAGGTCAAATATATGATTATTGTTTTTAAAACTGTAGGTTAAAACCTGCGTAAAATAAGGAAAGATTTTGCTTACATGTGAACTGCTTTCACGATGCCACCTGAGAGCGGTCATAGTTACAAGGCGAAACAACTGCAGAGCCAACTGCTAGTCACAATACGCAAAAAAGCCGTGCAAAACAGGACGTCTAGCGCAGGGAGGGCTGTGTTTTCTAAACCACGGCTGGGTCCCTCTCAGCTAAAAGTGTGCTGAGGCTGTACAGAGCATGCTGCGAGCTAGCTGGCGCTGCAGGGAGGCTGGCCTGCCTTGTTTGTGCTCGGTGATCAGAGCCGCGCAGCCTCTACGGCTGCCAAGCGGCGCTTGCGCTCGTGCGGTCGGCGTGTCAGAGCAGCAGATCCTTGCTCGAATGATGCACTTGCTGACAGAGAGCAACGTTTGTGGTTGAACAGTAGTCAGCTGGCTCTCCAGAGCAGTGTGATTATTCATGAGGAAATTAAAAAGTGGTGGTCTATGTCCTCATTCAGGGTGAGTGAACGTGTTGAGCTTGGCCATGTGTGTATAGATCAATACCAGTGGATGAATCACACCTCATCAAGGCTATCAGGAAGGGAGAGAGAGGCTGACAAATGCTTCAGGAGTGAGATTCAGGCTGATGCTGCTTTCGAGGTGGGCAAGTCTAAAAGCTTTTGGAGGCAGCATGAAATGCAGTCTAGAAGCCCCAGCCCCAACCACACAGGTGATAGCTGAGCTCTTCAAGTATATTTCTGCATCTGCAGCACCACAGACCCTGGGACGGTTGTGCTGCAGCACATTAATAGCAGGTTGGCTATGATCCATTCCAACATGTAGCTCAAGTCAGAAAACCACCAGGTCCCTGCAGGAGCGTTGCTCTCCCCTGGTAGGACCCCAAAAAGAGAAGAGAACTTGTGGCTGTCAAATCCTAGACACAGGATATGAAACTTGTAATGCCTGTCTCACATTCCTGCACAGTCAGGGCTGTATCTCAAATAACGATAGTGCAGGGCCTCTCTCCTGCTCCCTGACTCCATATACTGAACAGCCTGATGTATAACGCAGCCGGAACGTGAGGTTTCAGGGTAGAAGCTCTCCTGATGCTCAGCTGCAGCTGAGGGATATGTCCCGATCTCAGCTGAAACCCTTCAGGAAAGCTGCTTCCCTTGCATGCCACTGCTGCATGACGCGGTACCAGCGCGGCACCCTCTCACTGAGCTGTCTCACTAGTAGAAATTCTCCGTAAGTGAGTTTTGTATCTCTCATGAAATCACCATGACTTGCCTGAGGGAAACGGTGGGGACTTTCCTTCTCACTCTCCCATCTGCGAAGGAAGAGAAAATCACAGCATAATATTTTCCCCTTACTCTGGTTTAACTTGAAGGTAATCCTGAAATAGACTTGTAATGACTGAGCCTACGGCACTTACCAAATCCAGAGCAGACCGCAGCTGGCATTTAATATGTCATTTCTCTAATGCGTCACACAGCAAGCTGAGGGCTTCGCTTGTAGCTCCTCTACGAGGAAATGACCTTTCCAGCAACATTTCTGTCCCCCGAGTGGCTCTTTCCTTCCAAATGCACAGGAACCAGTTTTATCACACTACCATCTGGTGTGACCTGTGCCTTGTAACAAAATGTTTAAAATTTCTAATCAAGGCAAATATGCCTTCTAGACTTCTCCCGTAACCTCAGGATACATTTTAACAGAAGGATTTATGAAGCTAGATGTAATTACATTAGTCTGTTTCCAATAGTAAGGTAGAAGAAAATTGAATGTGTGGGATGTGACTTGCTTCTTATTTGTGGAGAAGATGCCCTTGAAGCACAGGAGAGAATCAGAAGTTGAGTAGATCATGTGCCTGATCACCTGGTGCAGCAGGAACCCTCATTTATGGTACTGCACCATGCCCCTCCAGAGCATGCCATTAGCAAACACGAGTCTCTGATTCAATCGTATTGCTGCTCTCTGATTAACCCACATAATCCAAGTGGATCTTCCAGTAGTCACTATGGAAACGATGAGCAAACGTTGACCAAAATGGTGGCCGCTCACTAAAGATTGGTCACGTGCCTGAGGGACTTGCAGACGGTGGGAAGAGTCTTGTCAAAAGGCAGTACTCTTCCTCCTCAGCTTCAAGCATACGATCAGTTATCCTGGAAGGACTTAATGTTGTTACAAAACAAATTTTCCATGGACACAAATTTTCCTTTTGAAAATTTGGAAGACATTTAAAATAGACTTACTTTCATCTGGTTAAACACATAGGTATGTCAAATGACCAGTAAAGATGAACCTTTTTCATCATATGACACAAATACAGAGAGATTAATCCTAAAAAGCCCTCTCAGGCATGTTCGGGTTCAGAAAGAGAGAAGCCTACAGTCCCAACCGCTTTTAATAACCTAATACCAAGGATATATTGGTAGATGGACAGCTGCCCATCCTAGCAACATTTCCTCTATTTCTTCTGAGCTGCCTGTGTGTGGTGGGTTCCTACTACCATCACTTATTCATAAAAAGACGGAAGGTTTTAGTATCAGAGCTGAATAAATAATTTGAGCAACTGTTGTGAAAATTCACTGAGGCAAAGAAAAATAATGCTTACTTTGCTATGCTCATAACCGTTTGGTGACTTCAGTGACTTCACTGAATGCATTTCCTGGCAGGCATGTCTGTGAATTCTAATTAGGTGAAATTTTACAGAAAGCAAGTTTTATGCTCAAAAATGTGACTATTTTTCTATGGGATTTGATTTTCAGATATCAGTTTGGCTAATCATGACACAGAAAAAGAGCGATTTGATTTGGGCGCTGATCAGATTGTGGCTAGTTTCAGTGGGCATTGAATGGACAACCCGCTCTGAATATCACCTTGCATAGCTTCAGCGAGCAACTTAACAAAGAACTGCTCCATGAAATAACTTTGAATGACAAACACATTTGAGAAAACCATAGCTTCTCAGGGCAGTACTGAGGCAGAGAAATGGCTACATTTCTCTAAATGTTATTGAGAAGAAATTGCTTGCTTAGTTGTAATGATAATAATCAGTGAATATCCATTGTGACTTAGTTTTCACCTTCCCGTGTTTACTGCACTTTTGAAAGCATATGTTCAGTTTTACTTGTGTTGCCTTTTAAAGAGCAGGCACTTAGTGCCCCAGTGGCCCATGAAGCAAGGAATCATGTGACGTTTCTATTTCTTCTTGAGCGTATATGTTTTCTCTGCAGTGGAAATAAAATGCAGTGTGCTTTATTTCACACCGTTAAATACAGAGATTATTTAGCTAACCATGATATACTTTCAAAATATTTTTTGAAGTTCTTAAATGCTGACAAGTAGACAATTTTCATGACTGTTGAGACCGACCTCCGCTATGTTTATCTGTTTATTGTATGCTGTGTACAGAACACAGCTCTTGAAGCAGCCTGTAATTAAGAACATGCTATGCAAACAAAGCCGAAATGGAGGCAAGACTGATTGCGTTCATCTTGCTCTCTGCATCACAAATCAGGCTGAAGGCCACAATGTGAGCTTTTCTGTCTCCTTCTCCCAAAGCGTGAGTCATTGTTCAGTGCAAATGTTACTTAAAGGTTCAGAGGCTTTTTTCTTCTCATTTCGCTTTGTCAAAACGAGATGTTTTTGTAGATTGTATTGCCTGCATTGCTCGTTTGGCTGTGTGAAGCTCTGCCAATCAATTCAAGGGAAGAGCTTGTTCTGAAAGGATGCCTTAAGCTTTGCTAAAGAGGAAGACGCATGAGAGAGATTGACGTGACATCATGGCCTTGCTGTGATCTGTTTTTGATGAAAAGCTCACTGCTGTGTATAGAAACAAGGGAAACCTGCAACTAGATGGTCGTGTATGGTCATGTTTTCTCCCTTGACGCAGTCGAGGGCAGTGCGTTCTCCTACGGCGACAGTCACCTCTGCCACGGTAGAGCGAGCACGCGCAGCGCGCCCATCTCAGTGAGGACCTGGAGTCAATCTGCCACCGCTCAACTCCTCCTGCTGTCGGTGGCGGCCACTCTGGCCACGATCCCTGGCTTTCCCTTCCTTCCTTCCTTCATTTGTCTGCCTTAGGGGAGGAGGAGACATTCACTGACCTTGCAGAAGGGGGGGTAAATTGCATAGCTGGCAACAGCGAAACAGGGAACTGTCCCTAATGCTGGAGATAGGGACTGGTGGCGTTTGTAGAGGGGTCTTCCACGGGATTGTGTGGGAGCCCAGTGCCCAGCCCATGCCCGACTTCACTGCCCCACTCCTGGTGGCCAGGGCCATGTGCAGCTTGTAATTAACTTTTCAGAGAGGGTCTGGAAACGCTCCAGAAACAAAGGTCAATGCTTAAGCTGCGGAAAAGGAGTAGAGCTGACATGCTGTATTAAAATCTGCCAGCAGGGTAGAAAACTAAGGGAACCTTTCCAAATTAAAAAAGGAAGGTTAATAGCAGGGTGCTGCCAGGATCAAGGCTGGTGGTTATCGTTTTTATTAGTTTGATAAGTGACTTAGATGACAGGTTTCAAAGGCAGAGATTTTTGGTGTTATATATGTTCTTTAACTGAAAAGGACAGCATTTAGCGGAATAAGCATTGGCCAGATTGCTACCATGTAAGCAAAATGTCGTGTTAGTGACAGCTACCTTTTACTGTAGATGAAGGCAGAGGGCAAGAGCGGTGGTATTACGGGAGAAGGAAAGGGCCACAAAGTGGAAAAGTGATGTCACTTGTTGGAAGCAGCAGGCCTGCCACTGCAAAGTCATGCCTCATCCCGCAGGTCGTTCTCTGCAAGGGGCACTGCTCCCTGCAGGAGTCAGCGCCGAATCAGCGACTCTCTGCGGAGCAGAGGTTGAACAGCAACACACATCTTTTTAGAAAGTTTAAATGTTTAAAGTTACTTGAAACAGCCACTGAGGATTACTTCCCCCGAGTCGAGGCAGCTCTACCGGGTGAGCATGTCACCTATATATTTACTGCAGTTTTACTCCTATGGGCAAATGGAAGAGGGAACATGATGAGTTATGACGGGAGCTAATACCACTTTGCTGTGGCAGCAGGGCATTACCCAGCGCTCCGCACTGTGCTTTCAAAGGACTGAAATTAATTTATTTTACTTCCGTGCATGGTGTAATTGATACTGGAGCTGATGCAAAGCTTATTGTTCCCTTAGGGCGCTTAGTAGTTTTGTGTCTATAATCTGTTTTTATAAACAGATTTAGCAGGATTAAGCTGCCTTCCTAATAGAAAACATTGCATCCAAGTGACTTGTAAATGCCATTGTTTTCTTAAAAGGCGTTTACATCCTGGGAGGCAGCAGGGAGAGGAGAGGTGATCAGCTGTTACCACGCCAAGGATCACTCAGCAAAAGTAAATTTGTTTGTAAATTAAACACTAAGCAAATTGCTTCCAAAATGTACCAGGATCCCTCTTTGTCCTTCCTTTTCAGCTGTGGCTGCTCCCCTGCTCCCTTTTACCACTTTAGCCTCTCTGAATCAGACTGTCCTTCTGACCTGTCACTCGAGCCTCATCCTTCCCAGCCCCATTTCTCTTTGTCATTGGCTTATTCTCCAATTTTTCTCTCTCTCAGGTTGTTTTTCGTTTAGTTTCTTCTTATCTTCAAGCAAAGATAATAATCAGATTGATATGCCTCTCTGCAGCCTCTTCCACCACTCCTGAAAGTCCTTAATTTCAAAATCTTTAGCAACTGATTTGTTTGTAGTCCCAAAATGGCACAAGAAGAAAACCCAGGTTATGGGCTGTCTATATTTGCACTGTATGGTAGTTATATTATGGCACAAGTCAGAACTTTTCCTTGTCCCTTCCTGGGTAAAAAGTGATGCTTCTCTTCTGTCCTGAAAACTCCATCACCCGGAGATTGGACCAGGGTCCTTCGTCTGTTTCCTGGATAATCTCTGCCTATCTTTTTCGGAGGGCAAACAGGTGAGTGAGCGGAAGTATACAGCCCCGTACAAAAAGTTTCCAGCTACATGTAGCCCATGGAGAAGAAATCCCTAATCTCTATAAGGACACAAAATAGAAGTCACAGATATTATATCTGAGAAGAACAGATGGAGAAGACAGATGGATGGGGCACTGTCACTTTCTATTATTTATCAGAACTTTTATTTCTTTATCAGGTCAGGAAATATGACTTGGCAGGTCCCTGGGTGATGGATAATGGCTTGCAGTGACTGTGCCAAGATGTCATATTTATATTGGCAGAGTGCCACTTTTCTTATTAGCATTTGGCCTGGCTAACCCAGTGTCAACTCTATAAAGTGATTGTTTGTTCTATTTTTTAGGGTGGAAGAAAGTTTTAAGACCTTATTCTGGTCAATATTTGGCTTATCTGAAGTGATATCTGTGGTGCTGAAGTACGATCACAAATTCATTGAGAATATTGGATACGTACTCTATGGAGTATATAATGTGACTATGGTGGTGGTGCTGCTTAATATGCTAATAGCCATGATCAACAACTCCTATCAGGAAATTGAGGTAAGATAAGAAACTGGATTACAAACTTAATGTACATGAATGTCATCTATAGTGAAAATGTTAAAAGAACAAGCAAGTTGCAGTTTATTCCCTGGACAATATTCAAGTTGAAACACAAATCTTGAACTGCATGAGCATCAAAGCTGTCTCTGTCCCCAAATCAGGGCTGAATTAATAATTAACAGTGAATCATTACTATAACAACTTAATTTCCTTGTTTTTAATAACTGTGAGCAAACCCCAATTTCCTTTACATGTATTTAATGAAAGAAGTTTGCGATGCTTTTTAGTCTCTGGGATGGTTATAATCAGTTATCCATGTGTATTACCTTAGCTCTGTTGCTTATGATAGAGCAAACAGTATTTCATCTGACTTTTTTCCCCGTTCTTTACTGGTTAAATGCACCGGCCCATCTAAGTCCACACAGTAGGCATACAACCTTGGTATAGATTTTTCAAGCAGTGCCTGGGTCAGCAAAACATACCTGCATGAACATTCACAAAAAGCAACATCTAAAGGGCACGAGTGCAACACTTGAGGAATATAGACAGGCTTCTGCAGAGAGGCAGGCATCCGGTTTACCCAACTTTATTCAATATTATTGGTATTCGCGGAGTGGACTTGCTAAATGCTTTGGGCGTAAATGACTTGGAGCTCATATAAATAAAGCCAGGAAAAAAGTTTAATATTTGGGCAGTGTTAATGCTGATTCACCTCTTTCTTCTGACTTCTTAAATGTCAAGTTTCTGTAGTGAGGTTTGTATTAATTATTTGCTCTAATCTTCCCTCAGAACCTGACACTGCAAAAGGCCAGAGCTGAAAATATTTTCTCGCTGTAATGTCTGATTCCTCCATGCACTGAAGTGCAAATACAGCTCTGTCTCGCGTGTGCGGCAATTAGGTCTAAATGTCAGTGAGACCTTACATATGTACTCTGCCCCAGAAGGCCTCCTGCATGCAGAAGGCGCAGTCATTTCCCCGAAGGCTTCTAATCACTTAAGATCAAGCTTCTCCCTCACTCCTCCTCTACTGAAACAAGATTTACTTTTAAAGGGGTCTCAGCCCCTTACCGCATTTTCCAGCTTATTATTGTAGACAGAGGTGCTCTTTAAAGTCTATAAAAGAAAACTTTCTCTAAAAATATCTGACTAGGAGGCCTATATTAGTCTTTTAGTTTAAACTTTGTGATGGCCAGACAGTGTACGGGAAAAGTGCTTTATCATCCTTTTTGGTTGTCTGGGAATTTTCAGAAATTAGTTAACAAATAGACATAACTACCAGGAAGGATAACAGTTTTGAGTCGTTTGGCCCAGACTCTCCTCACCTGTGGACTGGAAGAAATCTCATACTAATTCCTTTAAATCCTCAGTAACAAGGAATTAAATTCCATTATGGCTAGTGGGGCCATGCTTTCTTCTTAGCTGAAATTGCAGGACCATCTTCTTGTACTGTCCATTGGACACCTTTCTTCGGCTACTTCTATTTTACTCCTGTATATCCCTGACTGTCAAGTATCAGTGCTCTCAGCATACTTTTCATTTATGGAGAGAAAAAAATCTTTTGCCAGTCAGAAACTAGGACTACTTCCATCGGTATGTTCCTAGATATGCAAGAGAAAAGCATTAAAAATGCTAACAAATGATGTATACTGCAATTAGGCCTAAGACTTTTGTCAGGTTCAACTGCAAGCAATTAAAAGGCCAAAGGCAGAAGTGAATGCTCTGTTGGCAAAAGGCATATCACTGTAACTGTGACAGAATTAAGTTCAAACCCTGTTTTGTGTTATGCCAGTTTTTGACTGCGTTTCAGACATAAGGGGTAATCAGAGCTGTACGCTGAGAACGGAGTTAGATGCATGCATTATTAATTTCAGCAGACACTAATGTGCATGAGCACAAGGTAGGGATGACCCATGTTTCCACTGATGCTGCTGGCCTCCATATAAACCCCAATGAAAATAGCCGTAGAGCAGCTGCATCTCAGCCGTTCCTTGGCCTAGTAAACAGTCTTGATATACGGGTCTTAGCATCCTCCTATATAAATGGCAAGCAGATCCGTAAAGTATGTGCTAACCTCGGGCGAGGAAATGATCTTGGCTCTCCTTGACAATTCCTAAGGGAACTTCACAGGCATTGAGAGATGGACCTGTCCTCTACCTGCTTATGTGGCAGGAGGGGAATCGTAACAGAAATAAGATAAGATGTACTAATCTAGGGACACATGATGTTCTATGCAAACAGGATCAGTGAGGAAATCAGCTGATGATAAAAGAAGTCAGGAACCTAACCTGACCCCCCTCAATCCTACGGGGGATTCCCAGTCAGTTCAGTGCTAATAGTTCCCTGGCAACTGAAGAACATTTCAGTTACTTGAGGGTAGGCTTTGTTGTTGGATATATATGTACACATAACAGCTTTTTCTGCTTTCTGTGACTTTATATATGTTCTGATACTTCCGTCCATCGTAGCATAGTGCGAGCACCAGATTATTATTTTTTCTTAGGTATGAAAGACAACACCTTTGATACTCAAGGAAATTTTTCACTCAGCATAAAAGAACTATAGTAGTGTGCAAAGCATCTTCAGCAAATTTAGTTACCAGCTACCACTACCAACCTACCTGCAACCTGCCCCCATGTCACTATGAGAGAGACTGGGGGATAAATAACAAACTCTGAATTGTATCTCGCTTCATTCATTCATTCGTCCTTCTTGTTGCAGTAGGGCTCTCCTCCAGTCACGCTCCCGTTCATGGCTCCCCACCCTCCTTTCTCCAATACTTTTCTTCTTTGTTGGCACTCCCCTGTGTTTTGCAGCCCTTGCTGCAGAGAAATGTGAGCTCATTCATCTTGGAGTTAACACTGACCTTTCAAACTTATGGTATTTGCCTGGCTTAGAAGACAAAAACAATTTGTCCATTCCCAACTCATTCTTAATAAGCAACCTGCAGAAAATTTCTACCTAAGTAGAAATGAGATGACATTCAGTCTAATATATGGAGGACTGGTACTCTCTGTTTATCCATTACTTTGGTCAAACTTTCCTTATTTTGGGAGCACCATAGAGAAGTCTAGAAACACTTGTCGTGTGCGCAGGAGTCTTCGTTTGGCAAACAGAAGTCGGATTCTTCTTAAATCCCATCTGTATGTTTGTCCCTGTGCTAATGAAGCCTGCTAGCTAATTCCCTTCCTATATACTAATTATGCATTTGGGTTTTTTTTCCCCCCCCTCTTCCCTTCCCAAGGAGGATGCAGATGTGGAGTGGAAATTTGCACGGGCCAAGCTCTGGCTATCCTACTTTGACGAAGGAAGGACTTTGCCTGCTCCTTTTAATCTAGTGCCAAGCCCTAAATCATTTTATTATCTCATACTGAGAATAAAAATGTGCCTCATAAAACTCTGCAAATCTAAGGCCAAAAACTGTGAAAATGATCTTGAGATGGGGATGCTGAATTCCAAACAACGGGTATGTTGCATCTTCACTTTTTACCTTCTTTCTAGAAAAGAATCAAGGACTTCCTGGGAAGGGGGTTACGCAGCTCGTGGGTGGACAAGGAACCAGCGTAGCCTCTTACTCAGCCTTGTCATTATGTGTTGCTTGTACCACAGCAGCACCTAGAGGGTCCTCCCAGACTTGTGGCCTCATTGTCCTGCCCAGACACCAGGAAAAGAGCGATCTTTAAAAACTCAGGCACTTTTATATTTTCCCAAGGCCAAATAGGCAATGTCAAAGCCCAAGGTTCAAAGCAGATGCACAAATAAAATCCCGGCTTGTCTGGGTCCTAATCTGCCCACTGAGCCCTGCTGCCTCTTCAAAGCATCCTTTTTCCTTTAAACGATTTCCAAATTAATTTTGCACTCATTACATAAAAATCAACATTTGCTGCCATTCCAGGTTTGTGAGCAAGTTTCTAAGCAGGGATTAATGACACCACCTAAACACCTGACACTGTAATTAGAAATCTCTCTACTTGCATCTGCCTAATGACAAGCGTGGCCACCACCATGCAGGTCCTGCCACAGCCACCACGTTTGGTCTTTTGGGATGTGCTTGGGAGACGGGAGCATCCGCTGCCTGCACAGCAGCACGCTTTCTGCAGCACAAGAGAGCAGGAGAGAGAGAGACGCAGGAACATGTTTAAAAGCCAGACACTTTCCAATAAAATTAGCTTCATTCTCCTCCCTCAGGGAAATGCCAAAGAATCACAGAGAAGGATGTCGCCAAAGGAAATTATCTGCAATACTGTGCAGAGAGTCACTGGGACCAAAGCGTTCTTAGAAAGTTAATTTATAATACACACAAACACACTCAGAGGGCAAATCCACCTGCAGCGTTTCTGCTTCACATTAGTGAAGAAAATGCCCAAAACGTTCACATCAAATCAGAGAATTCAGCTGCAGCTGCTTGGCTGCAGTCATCTAATTCAATGGATTAAAAGACGTGAGGAGGCAGCTTTGCTTAAAAGTGTCCAGGCCTTTATTTAATTTTCTCAGCTCAAGCTGGGTTTGAAACAAGAAAACAGCACTGGGAACCAGTTCCTGGATTAAAAGGAAGCCCACAGAAACGCGCTCAGCCTGTTTTCTCTTACAGTCGCTGCGCAGGAGATGTTCCTTGGCCCTCTGGCCAGCTGTTTCTCGGGGCTGCTAGTATTCCTGCAGCAAGCTCTAAGACTCATCAATCCGTGCTTTAAAAATTTCGTCAGTATGTCTGCTGCTTGCCACAATAAAAGGGAAAGCCCTGCACAGCGCTGGGGCAGGGGCCGTGAGTTCACCTGCCCCAGTGGGACTCTGGTGGAGACTGTAGGTGTCGATGCTGGGCATGGAAATGAGTGGGTCCCTCCCACCATGCCGGACAATGTCCTAGCTGGGGCCGACCCCACCAGAGGTAGTTGAGCATGTGGGCCTATTCCTTGTTTTTAACTAATTTAATTACCTGACTTGCTTTTTGTATGAGCACTGCCAAGATAAACATTCGGGGGTATTTTATGCTATTACTTCATTTAACACTGGTATTGATTACTGAACAACCCATTAAAACAGTAAAGTCTTGGAATTAAAAGGAATGCCTGTCGTTTAGCTATTGCAAGTAATAATTTCAAAAGATAATATTTTCAAAATATATTTGAATCAAACCACACAAAGCTCACTTGTTTTGTGATTTAATTTCTGCTTCAAA